GAAAACACAGACATTTTATTACATCTCGCCCCTAAGATAAAGAATGCTTCCTACTCTGCGCATCTGTTTCGCAGGTGCCTTTCAGAACACGTTCTGTTCTTTAAGAATCTGCTTTGAATCCTACAAAAGACAATGAAGTGTTTTCTTTCATGAAAATTGTTTTCCTCAAGGCAGAAGGCTCAGCCTTCTATGTCCTGGAAGGAAGGTCAAAACAAATCCCGGGTTTTCTTTTCGGCAACTTACTTTAAACAGACAGAGAAGTCACACAAAACTCCAGTTCTCTTTTGAAAGGTAGTCTGAGATACAGCATAAAGAGGAAGGTAAACACACTAGGGACCCCATTGTTTTGAACATTCTACATCTAATAGACGATGGACCCAGACAGATTTCCCTTTATCATTATCAGCTGGTGTCTCACTTAGAAACCTGCCTGTTTCTACTCCATTTCCTTATTTTCTAAGCTAAGTATTCCACTAAACCAGTGGCTTTCACGCTTCTTAATGCCGTGACCCTTTAATGTAGTTCCTCATGTTGTGGTGACCCCCAACCATCGGAAATATGTGTTTTCCAATGGTCTTATGTGACCCCTGCACCAAACCATTCACCTTTCTGAATATGTTCTATGCTATTTCTTCCAGACTCTGTCTCTCTCAGACATTTTCCCTCATCTTATCACACTATTCGTGTTGTTGTTAGCTGCCTTTGAATCAGTTCTGATTCACAGCAACACCATGTACAATACAGAACAAAACAGTACCCCGTCGGCACCATCCTCACAATTGTTCTTATGTTTGAGCCCATTGTTGCAGCCACTGTGACAATCCACCTTGGGGGTGGGGGTCTTCCTCTTTTTCGCTGGCTCTCTACCAACCTCAATGTCTTTTACCAGAGATTGGTCTCTCCTGATCACATGTCCTAAGCATGTCATGACATGATGTCTCCCCATCCTTGTCTCTGAGATTTCTGGCTATACTTCTTCCGAGACAGATATGTTTGTCCCTTTGGCAGTCCCTGGTACTTTTCACTATTCTTCGCCAGCACCATGCTTCAGCTGCATTGATCTTTCTCAGTCTTCCTTATTGAAAGTCCGACTTCCACACGCACATCTGTTACTCTTAGCACTGCCTCATTCCTCGCTTATTCGGTCCCACTTACATTCCCCTCCGGGCTATTACAAACATTTCCCACTTTCTCAAAATGATGAGCAAGTCAAGCAGTTCCAGCTGACAGGTGTGGAAATGCTGGCGAAGGAGGCACTGTTCTGGCCACTGCTCCATCCCACCCCTCTCCCTTCTGAAGGCTGGATGCTCTGTTTAAGTTTTTTTAAAAAGCTTCAAAAATTGCATCAAGTCATATCAGCCCTTGAGGTCCTTTTTAACTTTGAGGATATCTTCCTTGATTTTTTTTCCTTCTTTCACTTCTATCATTTAGTTCCTTACCTTACCCCAAAATAGCTCTTTTCAGTAAATCGGCTACTCTGGTTGTCTAGCATTTTCTAGAGGTCTCTACATCTATTTCTGGTGTGTTCCTCATTTTTTTTCCATTTTGATAACTTTATTCATTTAAGCCCGTAACAGTTAACTGACTTTCCCAGCTCTAGGTTCTTCAGTCAATCAATACAGTAGACTATCAAGGTTAACATCAGTAAAACGTTTCCCATCATGGCTTTCTCCAACAGAAACACTCAAATTTCCACTGTCTATGAAATAAAAGTTCAAGTTTTGCAATCTTGCATTCAAGGCTTTCACCACCTGAGCCAGACATACCTTCCTATTTTTATCTCCCCTAGTGTTCAACACAATGGAGCCCTGGTGGCAGAGGGGCTGCGCCGCGAGCTGCTAACCACAAGGTCCGCAGTTCAAAACCACCAGCTGCTCCTCAAGAGAAAGACATGGTTTTCTACTCTTGTACCGAGTTACAGGCTCAGAACCCATACAGGCAGTTTTACCCAGTCCTGTAGGGTCACTCTGAATCAAAATCAACTCGATGACAGTGTGTTGGGTTGTTTTTGTTTTTAACTGTTCCAAATGAACCACTATAGATTTGGAACTGCCATCCTTGAAGGCCTCTACTTCACTAAGAGCCAAAGATATACCTTGTGCTTGCCTACCTCTAGGCTTTTGCCCTGGTAATGTAGTCGGCTACCCACTAAAAGCTGCTAACCACCAGTCCCTCCCTCCACAGGAGAAAAATGAGTTTGTCTGCTCTCACACAAAGTGAAAGTCTTAGAAGCCAAAAAGGATAGGTCTACTCAGTTCTATATGGGCTTAGTATTGATGAGTATCACAATAATTCCTTCCACCACTGCACGGGAGCATTCACAGTGGACTCTGCTGCTCCTTCTCGTTGTGAGGTGAAGTCCTCTTTCACAGTCCTTTGAATCTGGAGCAGACTGTGACTTCACTAATAGAACAATATGGCAGATGTGGCAGACTGGATCGCAAGAGGAGGTCTTGGAAGCAACTTCTGTTCTTACCCTTTGGAAGGCTGCTATCAGTACATTAAAAAGTCCTAGCTTGCCTGATAAGGTTATGTGACCCTGCTTACAGCCACTACAACATCAAGATGCAGGAATGAGGCCATTTTATACAGGCCATTCAGTCCCTGGTCAATCAGCGAAAGAACCACCCTCATGAACTGACCCCCAAATTGCTGTGCCACAAAAACTGTGAGCAAATGAAACTGTTCTTTTAAGCCACTAAATTCTGGGGTGTGGCAAGGGATAACTAGAACAGAATTCAATCATTTTACTTACTATTTCTTAACAGTTATAAGTTATTCATTACTTTGTTGCTAATTTCAGACTGTTTCCTAAAGGCTATTGAGATTTATTCCAACAGAGAGAAGACAGAGTTATTTGATAATAAATACTCTACATTATTTATCATGTTCATGGATTATTTAAAGCCAGAATGTCAGCAATCTAAATTATTTAACAATGGTTTATAGTAAGTGGCTTAAATAGAATTCTTACTAGTTCTATAGATACAGATTTTATTTTCTAATTTCTAACTTCCAAATGGAAAAAAAGTAATAAGCAGGTACAATCAATGTTTTCAGCCTGGCCTGTTTATTACATTGCTAATATTTACTAGAAACTATCTCAGAATACTAAGGATATATTTTGAAACTTAATTATCTTAGTATTTTAAATTCAGAATATCTCAGCACTTAAGAGAAAAGCATGTAAAATTGAAAATATTTATAATCCAAAATCACTTAGAGGCATATTGTCTAAGCAAAATGGTTTAAAATTATTTAGACATTGTAAACCAATATGTGGTCCAAAATTTTATATACTTGATGAATAAATATATTTGTAAACAAATGAGGATCTTGCTGCAGGTATTTTATGTGGAAAAATATTAAAGGATAATATCCAAAGGTCACGTATTATTATTAAAAACAGGCTAAAGCCATAATTTATAGAATTTTATAATCAATTAAAAAATTCATTTTCAAAATTTATTCTATTAACTTCTGAGAGTCACTGCTACAGAATAGTTCATTTATAGTCCACACATTCTTTAAAAGAAATACATTATAATAAAGAACAGGAAAGAATAAAAGGAAATGGAACAAACTTGGCTATTGATCACAATTTTTACTGAAGCACATATGCTAACTAGAAGGAAGGACACTATTACTTCTGACACACCAAGTAGATTTAACATTTACTCAAGTAGAATTTAGTTCAGTTCATTTTCAAAGTCAAAGCGAATTTCCTCAAGTCTCTGTCATATGTGCATTCCTTCTCACCATTTATTTTAGCAATTGAGCTTACTGACTATCAGAAAGAATTATTTCATACTTGCATTATTAAAAACACCTTAGGGAAAAAAGATTATCATTTCAGTTCTATTGACACCTGTTTCTCCAAAGGTGGGCTGCAATTTATTTCCCCTTAAGAGCAATTATTTACATTTCTCTGAAAGTACTTTTTTATAAGAAACTTTTAATTTTCTCCTTCTTTACGCACATATGTAGGTATGTAATAAATATGTAGTCTGCAATTTTATACACACACACACATGCAGAAACTACAAGGAGGTACCCAAATAAACCTGGAAAAAAAATTCCACTGGACAGAGCTTTCATAGTATGCATTTTTCCCACTAGGCAAGCATCAAGCAACTCACTCTGAGTTAGTGCATCCAGTGGTGTCGCCTGGGAAGGTTCTCTCAGGTCACAGTGAATTTTTTCGTAAAAGCAGTTTCACAGGAACCTCATTTTTTGTGATGGCCAATTTAAGAGAACAGCATGCAACCATGAAATTGTGTTTCCTGCTCGCAAAAAATGCCGCAGAAACCGTTGTCATGTTGAACACAGCTTACAGGGACACTGCTATGGGAAAAACTCAAGTGTATGAGTGGTGTTCTTGTTTCAAAAAAGAAAGGTGACATGACAATTGATGTCCATTCTGGGCACCTGTCAGCTTCCCGAATGGACAAAAATGTCAACTCGTAGTGCATTTGGAGTTTGTTCCACCAGATCAGACTGTTAATCAAGCTCTCTATTTAGAGGTCCTAAAAGATTACGTAACATTGTGAGACAAAAAGCCCTGATTTGTGGCAGACAGGGGACTGATTTTACCACCATGACATTGCCCCTGCTTAGGCAGCCATCTCAACGCGCCAGTTTTTGCCCCACACTTCTTACTCACCTGACCTCACTCCGTGTGACTTCTTTTTGTTTTCAAGAATGAAGAAGGGCATGGAAGAACAGCAATTTGACAATGTAGGAAAAGCGAAGAAAAAAAACAAGGGAGGTGCTGTCAGCCACCCAAACAGATGAGTTTGAAAAATGTTTCCAAGAATGGAATCGCAGATTTGAGAAATGTATGGTGATTACTTTGAAGGTGATAAAGTTGTTTTGTAAAAAATTTGACTATGTAGCTTTGAAAAAAAAAATCCAGCTCTTATTGGGTGCCCTCTTGTATGCTTCTCAAAGTGAGGAAAAATAAAGAATAAAGCATAAATTGAGAATTAAATTGTACTTACAAAGTCATAGTCACCATCCTGAGGAACCTTCCAGTTATCAGGAAAAACGTTTTTGGATACAGGGAAGGGTTCGTGCATCTTCTGACTACAGTTTTCGTGACTCTTGTTCTTGAAGTCCTGTTTATCAAAGTAGTCCATGAAAGATGGTCTTTGTACTTGTGGCGAAGTTGCATTTCCTTATAAAAACAAACAGCATCAGAAGGGAATAAGCTCTTATATTTGGTGGATGACGTTATTGAAGCATGATTTCTTTGAGCCATATACTACATTTGAACTGGTGACAGTCAGTGTCAACATAGTCCGTTAAGTGATGACAAAGGCTCAAACGGTAAACGTGAAAAACAACAACAAAAAAAATCATCTAGGTCACACAAAACTTCAACTAACAACAGGCAAAGAATGAGAATATTCTTACCCTAAAAACATTTCCATATTTTGGCAAAATATCATAATTTTATTAAAAATAACTTCCAATGCATTTGAAGTTGGTCAAAGAAAGTAAACTTAAAACTCAAGCTGCTTTGTTGTTTTCTTTTTACATATGTGGGGGCTTCAAAAAGTTTGTGGGAAAGTTCCATTATTTTTTAATTCCATTTTTCCACAAATTCTCTGATGCCTGCTTACATAAGGCTGCAGAATTACTGCCACTGTACACTGTCAACGGCAGTAAGGGATTCGAAGGGTTTCTCTAGCTTCCTCTTCCATCTCTTCGCTTCCTCCTGGACTTTCTACCTGATTTCACTTCCTCCCCAATCTCATGGCACCATCGATCAGGATTACACCAGTGTCTCCCAGCCAGGGCTTCCAGCAGGCTCGGCCAGTTTCAGTCAAAGCAACCCTGGAGTAGATGTGCATTTTTTAAAAATAGAGATGAACTGGACCTCTAACTAGGACAGGAGATATTACAGGTTGAAGCCCTGATGGAAACTAATTTCCCTTTCAGAAAAGCAGGGCTGTGTATGTATTGCATAGCAACCAAATCTCTTGACCAGGTGAGCAGAAAACACCACTGCTGGACTCAAGGATGACACTGTCCATGCCACTTTGAATGTGTGTTGCCGACCACAATCCCAGCCATCATGTTGTATCCCCCCATTCTAAGTCTAGTTTACACACTGTCGATAGTTACCTTCCTAAATACAACTCAGGTTGCATCATTCTTCTGCTTAGAACCTTCCAAAGGCTCATTTTTTATAAGAAGAAAAACATCTATATCAGCCTGTGAGTCTCTGCTTATAATTTCATTTTCAGCTTTTGCCAATCTTCAACAGATACTTGATTTTATAGATCTACTTTCAGATCCTTAACAGTATTGTGATGTTTCACAATTTTACTATTTCACCATACAAAATCTCCTTCAGATTCAGATCAAATATTACCTTCTATGAGAAGCCTCCTCAAATTCCTCTAGGTAGAGGTAGGCATACCTATCACAGGAAGCAACCCAGAGAGCACACCACGGACTGCACTAGCTGTCAGGAAGGTGCAAGGCAAGGCAGTGCTTCGTCCTGTTGCACGAGTACACAGGGTGCTATGAGTAGGACCTGACAACACAGAGCCTAATAGCAGCACCTACACATGGACCACGAGCCAGTTGTGTACATAGAACAAGGGAATACTACTGGTTTAAAATCAGGAAAGGTGTGTGCCAGGGTCTTATCCTTTCATCATACTTATTCAACCTGTATGCTGAGCAGATAATCCAAGACGCTGGACTATATGCAGAAGAACTCAGCATTAAGATTGGAGGAAGGACTGTAAATAACCTGTGGTATGCAGATGAAACAATGTTGCTTGCTACAGGTGATCAGGACTGGAAGCACTTGCTGATGAAGATCAAGGACTGCAGCCTTCAGTAGAAGTAGATCAGCAGGCCAGTTGCCTGCCTGCCTTCCTCTTTTCTAAAGTACCTCTGGGTGAACTTCTATTTGGTTAGAAACTGGATTAGTTTAATGTAAGTAGAGATAAAGATATACACATATATAATTTATTTATTTAGAAAACCAAGATATACTAAATCTTTTTACAAGGGAAAAGTAATTTTGTATCAGATTCCATATCTATTTGTGATTGGGAGCTAACTTTTAGAAAATAGGAAACCCAAAAAGACCACCATTATCAACTGTGCTTGGCAAACATATAAAACTTTTGCTTTAAGGAAGCACATTTCCAAACAGCATTCTTTTAGGTGATCTACTTCTTCAAAATGAGGCGTGGAAGATGCGCTGGAGTACACTTCTACCCTAGCATCCAGGCAGTCTCAAAGGATTGGGGCTGATTTAAGGGCAGTGATTAACCCACAGATGAGAGCGTCGTTCCCAAGTTGCCTAACCCTGACCGCACCCCCCAACCCCCCAAGTCCTCCTCTTCCCACACCAGGGCAGACCTCCAAGACTCATATTACTGATCTTTCAACTAGCACTGGCCTCACTTCTTTGCTTTTTCCTCAGCAAAACAGTATGGGAACTTTCAGGTTAGAATCTTTACCAAAACCTTAGTACTCTAATAAAGAAGCCAGTGGTGATGTGGGTAAGCTCTGGGCTGCTGTCTGCAAGGTCAGCGGTTCAAACTCAATAGCCGTTCTGTGGAAGACAGGTGGGGTTGTCTGTTCTCTAAAAGATTTACAGTCTCGGGAACCCTAGATAAGGTGACTGAATTGGAATCAATTCCAATGACAATGGAATTTGGGGCGGGTGCTGAAATAAAAGAGTCAAAATAAATAAAAAACGACTGGTTTGGACCTTTCTGCCCAAGATTATGCACTAAAAGCATTCTAGGAGCAAGTCGAAGACTAACTCATACCTGCTGGGAAGGAGCATCACAGTGCAGTGTGCACTGGGAAGGAGACGGAGAAACATAAAAGCTCAAGAGTTGTCTTTCCCTACGAGAATACAGTGCCTGCAACTCTATTGATCAAAACCGTCCCAACAAAAAAGAAGATGAGCTGGAGAGTAAGGGAAAAGCTAAGAGACAGACCATAGTCTCGTTTGCAGTAACACAGAAAGGTCACAGCCCAGGACAGTAAGCAAATGCAAGAGAAAGGGAAGAGGCAGGCCAGTCCCCAGGGAGGGCTGAAGTAAGGAAAGACTCACTGGACTCCAGTCATTCACTCTTCCAGCCTTGACAGTCTTGAGCTAGCTCCTGCCCACTCCTAGTCAGGGGCTTCTGTCCCAGGCCTCAGCAGATGCCCTCAGTGACCTACTGTCTGTCAGTAAGAGAGTTGCCTATCTCTTTATTTAGGGTAGCAAGGAGCAGCTCATGGATAGGAGTGGCCATGTGACATCATTTTGGCATATGAAATACAGATTTCTAGGAAAACTTTCCTTGACAGAGGGACCAATAACCAACCCTTTTGTTTCCTCCCAGTCTGTCTGCCAGCCGGAAGAGAGGGGAAACCTGACAACAGTAGAGCTGGTCATCATTCAAAAGCAGGAGGACAAAAGTACTCCCAGAGACATTCCCACAGAGAGAAACCCTGGGGGAGGCAGGAACCCCACCACAGCACAAGGCTCTACCACTGGGTTTCTTGTTGAGAACGAAAACAAATTAGTTCAGTCTTGTCCCTCACTATTCTTTTGATTTGGGGGGGCACACAAAGCTAAACTTGGTTCCTAAGGAGGGAGCTGAAAAAAAAATCCATAAACAGAAGGCAATGAAAAGATCATGGAACATTTCCATGAACTTTTTGAAGCCCCCCTCACATAGTTCAGAGCGGAGGACATGGAAAGAGGAAGGAGGAGCAGTAATCTTCGGTTTCACTGCAGAACTATCCTGATCTGAATCGTGAAACATGGTCCTATGTACAGTGGTATATTACCATATTTCAAACCTATTGGGGGCCTTTGACAGACTGACCAGGAAAAGGCCAGAAGGGTGCTCCATACTAAATTTTGAAAATGATCCATTCCTAAATTGGAAATAAACATTCTTACAAAGAGTTCAAATGACAGTAAAACAAAAAAACAACTTACATAAGACTGTCTATTCCATTATATTTTCCTCTTAAATAACTTTAAAACAAGGTAAGTTAGGTCAAATTATTGTTATAGTTTTTATTCAAGTGGTATGTGGCTGTACTTCTAAATATTTCCTATTGCTTAATTGCAAAGCTCACATGAACATTTAGAGTATAACTTTGGCATATGAGAAGAACGGATTCTGTACAGTTATGTATCTTTCGTTTCTGAGGCTCGTTGTCCACATTAACGTGAAGGAGCCCCTGCGACTGCCCGATCCCATCCCAGCACACGACAGGAAACACACACCCACACTGCAGTCGCACCCTTCGTAGATGCATGTTCACAGAAGTGGGGCAGAGCGGACAATGTCTCTTTCATTATTATTATCAATTATTATGCTTATTTTCAAAAGCTGAAATACTGGGCCCTTCGACAAAAGAGTAAAGCAGGAAATCTCAAGATGGTAACCCCTGTCGTATGTGATATGGTTGCTATGGCAAATACTTTAAACACAAAATAATCACATAAAATTGACATCAATTTCTCCAGTGGCACCTGAATAAAAACCCACGCTTATAAAAAAATACACTTTGTTTTAGTAATAAATTTAATGTTGGAAATAATCTAGTTCCTCAATTTTGGCCCCATTCTTTCAACTACTTGCTTGTAGAATAAAAAACCCATTAGCTATAAAGAATAAATAATCATCACTCGTTCCCTCTGTGCATGTGCATTTTAAAGACAGAGGTTGTTTCCTCTCCTTCAGACCCCTCCAAAACATGTTCCAGGAGAGTAAATTGTGTGGAAGTAATAATAACTTTAGCAGTCCACCCACAACTATTCACTCATTTGCACCTGCCTGCTACAAATGTGAAGGCTTCAAGGAAACGTACATATAAGTAGAAAATTCTTAGATACTTGAAATAGCATCTGCTTGATTTTAAATCTCTTAGAATAAGGATGGCAACGATACTAAATGTGTACAGAATGAAGTAACAATAAATCATAACATCTGAGAAATTTACATCTATTACCTAATTTGTTCTTCTAAAAATACTTTTAAGATGTGGGTGTTCTACCTGATTAATGGTCTTGGAAGATTGCCCTTTAATTTGTTGCCAAGCATATAGTGACTACATATAAAACCCAGGATGTTAACACAGAAACTACTGACATCCAGCTTTTTCTTAACTTCATCAGGATGTACTTTCAAACAA